GGGTCCTCGGGGACAAATGCCGCACGATTCTCGGGTACCTTGTCCTCAGGGACAATGTTATCAGGATTCTCCGGTACCTTGTCCTCAGGGACAGTGTTATCAGGGTCCTCGGGTTCCTTGGGGGCAAATGCAGCAGGATCCTCAGTGGTTTGGGCAGTAGGGTCCTCGGGGGTGTGGGCAGTATGGTCCTCGGAGACGTGGGCAGCAATGTCCTCGGTGGTTTGGGCATTAGGGTCCTCGGGGACGTGGGCAGCAGCTGACTCGATGCCTTGGGTAGCAAAGTCCACTTCCATAGGGTTTCCAGCCATCCCTTCATCATTTTCTCCTTGTACATTTTCCTCAAGAACCTTTGGACTTGCAACCCCCCCTTCTAGGGCTCTGGGAGGAGTATTAGACACTGCATCGCCCTCGTCATCACTTTCTTCACTACGCACAGCCTCAGCACGAGCTTTAAAATGATAAGGCATATCCTTGCCGGCGTAGTAATGACTCGTTGATGAGCTTCTACTACCCACATCTTCATCCCCTTCTCCCTGTCTCTGTGAACAGGGAGTATGCACATCCTCACCACCCTTTGAAGAATGTATTTGTGAATGTGGAGAATACACATTCTCAAAAGGTTCTTCATCCACCGGAAATCCTGCTTTCCTCATTATCTGCTTCACAGAATCTATGATCCTCAATTCAGAGGCCTTAATCGCCTCCATCAACCTCCTTTCAGAACCTTTTTCTTCACCTTTTTTTCCCTTTTTTATTTGTTTTTTTCTTCCATGTTGTTCTCCTCCTTCTTCTTCTTCTTCTTCTTCTTCTACTTCTTCTTCATCATCTTCTTCTTCTTTTTCTTCTCGATTCTTTTTCTTCTCCTTCTCTTCTGCCTTCTTATCGGAAGCAGCTCCCCTCGCATCGATATCAAGAGCACGAATATGCTCAAAACAAATGCTTTTTGGATCGACCTTCAGTTGATTCATCCAACTGCGCACATCCGGATTGGTAATAGACTCCTCATCGACGTTTGCAAGAAGTGATTCCTCTTCCTCACTTTCTACTGTAAGAATACTTCGAATACCCTGAAAACAAATCACAACAGTTGAATACAATATGACAA